ACCAAATTGTAAATTTAAGTATGTTTTAAACTAAGGTTATGGACATATGATTTAAAGAAAACTTAAAGATTTAGAAACTGGACACATCTATTGCTAAAGAATACATGAAAAAGTTCTTTTCTCAGCATAGTCTGGGGCGTAGAATTAAACAAGTGCTTACTGTGATGTGGAGGGGATCCTCTCAGTCCCTTCAGCCACTTGCTTCTTGGGACTTGGACACGGAGAAAACGTGCTTTCTCCTGTCTCTCCTGAGCTGTTGGGTTTGGAACAAATCAGAGCTGAGAAGCCATCAACATTCACAGGAGGAGGAGTGCCCACTCGCTACCACTTCCCGCTCGGAAGTAGGTTACTTCATCGTCTAGGGAAATCTCTATTGAATTATAATTAGGTGGCTAATTAAAACGGGAATTATCAACTACATTAAAATATGTCAGGAAGATGTGTACATCATTTATTCTTTAATTTTGGAAATCCACCTTTTCCACAGAAAAATTCTCACTGGAAAACTCTATGTTCAATATGTAAGTTTTTTTTTTTTTTCTTCTTAAATCAGTTTTATTGAAGAGAGTCTGAGATTCTTCATCGAGGTAATGGATATAATTTGAGCTTCATATGTTAGTAAGAAGAACCTAAGCATCATAGTTCTGCTGTACACTAAAAACATACATTGCCATGATTAACAACCCCAAGGAAATGCAAGGTCCCCAAAACAATTACTTCCGAGTCAAAGCAACAATGATGATGAGAATAAGTGCTACCATTTATTCCCTGCTAATACACACCATGCTTTGTGTCTCACTTAATCCTCTGAAAATCCGTGAGGTAATTTTATGTCCACTGAACAGAAGAAGAAACTTAGTTCAGCAGAATTAAATAAATTATTCAAGGTCACACAGTCTGAAGGTTAGCAAGCTGAAATGCAAACACAGGTCTTTTACCCCAAAATTCTTCCATTAAGCAAGTTTTTTTTTTTTTTAATAGTTTAACATTAACTCAAAACTGTTTTGTTTTAACTTGTTTTGAAATTGATAGTATTCATGTATCATATAACCAGTTAATTAGGATCCTGTTAACCAGAGGATCATATATCCTAGCCATATGCCCCCAAATCAGTTTATTTATTTTTTTTTTAAAAAGCATGCTCAGCAGGAGATTCCTGCTGTATTATAAAGAGTAGAAGTTAAAAAGTTGTACCACCTGGTAAGATGAGTTCCTTTTCATTTGTTTTTCCCTATGTTCCTCTAATTTCTGAAAAGATACAAATTAGGTGATGGCCCTTGAACTTTGGTACCATACTATCTTGGATTTGCTGGTTTAGTTCAGCATTAAATGGGTCAGTCTCCTTCTGAAGTCACATACAAGCTTGGCATCACAAGCAAATGATTTGGCTGATAGGCATGACTAACTATCCTGGGCAGGCTTGCTGAATTGCTTAGAAGGCTCTGTACTAAAGCCATGAAGGTGATTTGGTGTTTCTTCTCAAATATATAACAACAATAACAATAACAACAACAACAACAGCATTATATTAATGTTTTTTTCTAGAGTTTACTGTGTACCAGATCCTGTTTGTTATCTACGTGAGTCAAAGTTTCTCACCTTAATACTTTGACCTTAGGGACTGATGATTGTTGCAGGGCCTTGTTCTGCACTTGTAAGGAAGCTAAGCAGCACCACTGGGTTCTACTCCCTAGGAACATGTGTGCATCTACCCTCTATAATTGTGACAGCCAAAGCTGCTCCTAGTGATTACCAAGCATCACCGCATAGGGCAAACTCACCTGCCACCCTCCCTTCAAGAACTTCTGTTTTACTTCCTCATTGACTTAGGCAGTTAGTGTCATTAGACTAATCTCACTGTTGAGGAAACTGGCTTTACATTCACATAAGACGCTGAAGGTGTCAACAACGATAGGTTACAGTCGCAGTGCATTCAGACTGCTTCCCTCTCGAAGACTCCTTGAGTGTGCATGGGACTCACATGTAAATTTCACGTGCCTCCCCCACACATCCTACCCCTTTCACCCCTGCCTTTCCCTGTGAGGATGGAACAGTGGGGGGGGGGAAGGGGTGCACATGACAGACTGCACAGAACTTTTATTGTACCATGGTCTTTTATTCAACAGATTAATTCCATTTTAATTGGAATTCTGGAAACTAATGAAAAAAAATTACAAGTGTTAGATGGTCTATTCTCAGGGTTCTTGAATCTGTCTGATTTAATTCTAACCAATTAGCATGCCATTATGGAGGAATATTACACTGAGAATCAATATGAAGCTAAACACTAATATTTTATTCACTATTAAAAATTTATACAAATGGTAATACAAGTGCTTTATCCCTACTTTCTCTAAATGAGAAGAAATGCTTCCTTAGGGCGATTCCAGCAACAAAGAAAATTATATCTTCTTAGGAGACTATTGGTATTATGCTTTACATACATCATTGCTTAAATGAATCAATAAGATTTAATTGAATGAAATTTGTTCATTTTCTTTTAAGATGTAGAAGTTTTTCAGGGTATCAAATTGTTTTTTATTTCCATGCCTATGGTATAATCCTATGTTAAGATGATAAAATAGGCTATTGCCCAATAGTGCTGAAAGGAATAAAGTAATCGTCATATTTTTCCTGATTTTAGGATATCATTTTCTTCTTTTTTCCACGTGTGTACTCCACACTTTTTCTCACTTGCATACTCTACACTTTTAAAATTCAGATATAATCTTAGGCTGGAATTTGAACCTAAACATATTCAGAGTCTGCTTTTTTATGTCTTCCTTACAAGAAGCAATACACTTAGATATGTTATACTTATGTTGACTTTAAACTAGATAAAAATCTAAAAACTTCCTACATATAGTTTAGTTAGGCATGATTTTTCAAATCTGCTTTCTGAAATCGTGCCTCCAGATGCCTTCCCCAGTGCTCAGCCCTACCCTACTCTTTGTTTTTATACTCCTGGGCCACTGCACAGACACTTCTTGTGTTTCTCTACTTCTTTTAACCCCCTACCTTCAGTATCTTTATTCAAGCTTCCAATCTAGGGTAGATTGAAAGATTTCCTTAGGTTGGATCCAATGAAAAATATTTACAATTTTTGTCACATAGGCTATAATTCCCAAGTTCTCAAGTATTTCAAAATCCTCTGTGAACTATACTCTTTAGAACAACACTTACTTGTGAATTATTGTGCACTGTTCCTCAGTATTGGTGTTAGAAAAATTTTGCTCCACAATTTTGTAATCTCCCAATTGGGTAGGCAAGATCAATCAGTAAAATGCATGTACCTTGAAAAGGTTGCTTGTAATTCTAAAGGCTTATTAGAAGTTAAAAACTGACAGCGGAATCAAAGCAAAAAAAAAAATCATTGAATATGTTAAGCTAACTGAAATATTAGAATTGGAGACATGTTCAGCATAGTAATCACCACTGCAAATAGAAAATTTAAACTGAAAAATAACATTTAATGGGTTGACTTTTCTAAAATACTGACAGGATTTCATTAAAAAGTGTTTAATGCATATAGCTGTTCTGAAAGTTTTTTAAAAATGAAAGACTAATGCCTTAATGAGAGGTATTATTACATGAACATATTTGAATCTGGCTTATGAAAAATTGGGCTTGAGAATTTGAAATGTGTGCATAAAATGCAAATGGATTTAATTAACTGAAAACCCATAAGACAGAACTTCTTCAAATAAGCAATTACTTGGGGGACTAATAGTGTAAATAGGATCCCGATTCATTAGCACAAATACCCATATGAGAAAAGGATCAGCAAATTTTATTCTTTTAAGTTATTTATGCATATATGTTAATATTGCATTAATTTGGGGCTTCAATAAAATTTAAAATCTCTTGATAGTTCATGAGCTAGGCTGATGTTTACTTTTGCTTTGCAAATAGTTTATTTATAGGTAGATAATATATGATGTTTTAAACATTTATTTCCAGTCTATGTACATTTTTTAGACACAGAATAAACAATTTCCAAGGAACCTCAGGCACTTTACAAGCTCTTACACACAACCAATCTATATGCTAATAACAAAATGTTCATATGATTTATTATAACAGGTCTCCTTAAGGACTTCTACTCTGTAATGTTTTGTTGAAGTTACTCTATGTAGTTAAAGGTGGTAAAAGTCATGTTTGTTTAAAAGTTATCTATAATTCAGATATGCTTCCCACAAATTCAGATATGCTCACTTCCCTAATTCACTGGAATAAATGAAATTTTACAATATTAACAGTTACCTACAAGGCATTTCTCTTTAAATATGCATTACAACATATAAACCTATAAAGAAAACTAAACACACTAAGGAGTGAAAATAACAAATGGGTTTATGGATAGACAAAAGAAACTGTCCATTTCAAATTATTTTAAGTCATGTAGGTGCAATACTCTTGGGGGAAAAACCACAATAATGTGGCCTTTTGTTCCAAAACTGGTTTCACTCACTTGGGATGTTTCTAGTTCTAATAATCTGCAGAGTAATAAGTTTTTCCAATTAAAGGCAGTCAGTGCTGAGGCCAAAAGTGGTGGGTGCTCTAAGAGAGATATCTGGGAAGAGAAGTGGCACTCTGAAACAATCTGGCCATTTCTAAATCTTCCTTGTATGTGACCATGATTTTTCAGAGTCCACATATCAATTTTCTGCACAAAATGCTACTCACATAAAAATTTTAAGTGTGTACAAAATGTGTAAAAGAATTCTGTTATTTAATGTCCAAAACTCATATGTCGGCCCAAATGACTCAAATTCTAAACCAGATAAAATATATTCAACTAGAATTTATAAAATCCACAATTGAACTAAAAGTGGAATATTCTTTTTGAAAATGACAGATTCTGAAGACAAATCTGGATGTTATTTGTCAGTCATGACATCTCCATGCAAGAAACATTTCCATTTCTTTGGTAAATATCATAAGAAAATTATAAAAAGAAGAAAGTCAGTTCTGTTACTTAAATGAGTACTTACCACACCAAAGGGGAAAATAAATTTCAGGTCCATTTTCATAACTCCAGAGTGCTTGATGGTGAATCCTCTTTCATGTGCTGCCTGGTTGTTGTAAAACCTAGGAAGGAGACACGAGCATAGAATAGTTCATCATCAAGAAGAAAACTACTCAAACAATATTAGTTAATGTCAGTGGCTATTTGTCCTTAAAAGAAGATCTATCTCCCAGCCAGCCATAAAAGTTAGAGCAAAAAAAATGAAAAGCTGAAATGACCACCACCTTTGGAGACAGAATACATACCTGAAATTGAATCCTACTTGCGGTATTTGTCTAAGTAATTTAATATTTATCTAAGTGCTTGACTTCACTGAGGTTGTTTCCTTGCCTCTCAGGTAGAAATAATAATATCAGCTATTCAATGGAACTATTTTGATGATCAAATGGGACAATTTGTGGAAAGATATTCAGTGAACAGTAAAAGTATTATTGAACTAAAGAAATTTGGCCTAAACGAGCCTCGGTACTTTGAGACTAAGTTTGGTCCGAAGTAGCCACTGTACATAGTGAACTGTACTCTTGCTGGATGTTGTAATGGACTCCATCTTAAGCTCAGCATATACACTGTAACCAAATGAGAGTTGAACAACCTCCAGCTGGCAGAAGCTAACAGCTGCCAAAATGGGAGCATGAAGACAAATGTCAGCTACAGCCAATCAAGTCATTTCTGTTTGTCACTTCCTATTCTCTGACTGTAAATATAAGCTGCCATAAGAGGGAGTGGAGCATTTTGAAACATCTTTTTCTGGAATGTTGCCAGGTTCTACAAGCTTTTTTCTTAAGTAAACTTCGTCAAATTTAATTGGTCTGGATTTTTCTTTTAGCAGTCTTCAATTTGTTTATAGCCTGATTTTTTACCTTAAGGATTTGAGGTGGCTTCCAAAACAAAATAAACAAAATATTAATAAGAAAATAACAGAGAGAATAGAAAAGGAGAATACACACACAGGTGTGTGTATGCACACATTATCTGTATTGATTAATGCAGTTGACTGAAATTGTTATTTGTAGTTGAATTTTTTGGTATTTTAGGTAAAGGGAAGATGTAATTTCTTTTATAACTTCTATTCTTAGGAGAAAACATATCACTTCCCATTACATCCTCAAAGAAAAATTTTATCCTCCAGATATGAAATTCAAAGAGAAATTTTCATGTAATAGTTAATAGTGGGATATTGAGATGAAATGGATTATTTTATGAGTAAGATTGACTAATATGAAAAATTGGAAAACAAAATAGTACTTCTGCTTGGAGGTAGTTATTACTTCCATAAGAAACTGTGCCTTTCCTAGAGACAAACCCGAAGTTTCGACCAGGAAAATCCTAAATGTAAGCCCAATAACACTCAGTTGGCAAATCTAGACCGCCTCTCTTTCTGACTCTGCCTAACAGACACACAGGAATTTCTTCGATAATTCTCTCAGTACTGGGGAGGGCTTTCTGAAGGAAGTCGCTGATTACTGTGACCAGCGCTGCTCGTTAACTGTGAGGTAGAGGGAGCACGGACCTTGTGTGACACAGAACTGGCAGTTGCGCATCTTATGTCTTGGGCCTTCTAGAAGGGGAGAGGAAAAGAAAGGGAAAAGAAACAAATGATTACAGCAGTGAAGCAATTCCAGCATAAGGCTTCTTCCTTGAAATTCACATATTTTTCTCGGCTTCCATGAATCCCCACTTCATGTTTCCTAAGAATACCCTGCCACACACACGGTGAATATTCTTCCTCTCTTTTGTGTCTTCTGCCTTTCTTAAATATGAGCTTTTCTTGACTAGTTCCTCACCCTCACCCTTTCTTAAATTTGCTTGTCTTTCCATGCCATTTGCATACCATCAAAGGCATCGTCATTATTCCCTCTAAAAGGCCTGGTGGTCATCTTCACTCTTTCCTTCTGTCACGGTGCCTCCTCACCACACACCATCCAGCTGACTAGGGTACAAATTTAACTTCGACAGGAAGGTCTATTTTCCATTTACGTTTCTATGTCATTGTCAGAAGCCTGTCCACCATCCGCTATCTCCCAACAGGCACAGGTTTAGATAATGTGATCCCTTCCAAATACCACCATGTCTCAGCTTTCTGGGAAATGCCAGTTTTTATCCTAAAACTCACACCTGTCCTTTTGCTTGAAAACTCAAACAGCCTTCCAATGGGTTAAGTCCCAAACTATGCAGAATTGGAGATCAATACATTTACCACTTTACCCATAAACTTTCCACAGAACTTACCTAGTCACACACTGCCATGCCTTTCCCCAAAATGTTGTTTGCTGCCTCCTAGACTTTTCTGTGCAGATTTCTGCTGTCTTAAATGCTTATTTTTTTATACCTATTTCAAATGGGAACCTTGTGGGAACATGTTGAATCTTTGAGTAAGAGCTCACTGTATCTTCCTCTACAAAAGGTTCTTTTACTATACTCTTAGTATGAAAATCACATGTATGGTACTTTGGTTTATTTTCTATTGCTGTATATCCAGTTGTGCCCTTGTCCTATGGAAGTTTATACTCTATTTAGATAAACCATGCAGATTCACATTCCTAACTTCTATAGGGTAATATTCAATGCTTAACTATTATGGGTGATCTATAAATAATAAGTGATTAGGTGATGTTCAAAAATCAAACAGTACCATGATGACAATCTCTGAACATAAGGTTAATGAGACCATTTTAGAAAATATTTTCTAAATCATAAGTGACAACAGCAAGACCATCCAAATTTGAAAGGCATACAGGATGTCTTTTTTTTTTTTTTTTTTTCTGGTACTGGGAATTGAACTCATGACCTTGCACTTGCCAGGCAGCCGCTGTGCAGCTGAGCTAAATCCCCATCCCAGGCATATAGCATGAAAGGAGAAAGGATGGGGAACATTAAAATAAACAATTACAAGCAGATTTTATGTTTTTCTGTCTTTTGAACACAAATTTGACCATTTTATGGAAATTAAATAAATGTCTACATTTGAGAGAAAATGTTAATACATTTGAGATTGCCACATAAATAACTTTTATGACGTAAGTATTTTTTAATGGAGATCTTCCATGAGGGCTACAAAATGTCTTCTGGGTGCCTATCCTAATGCCTGGTACATATCAGATAGCACAACATTTGTTGAGTATCTCTCCAGCTGTTCCCCTTCACCAAATGCTCACTTCCCTTGCACTGACAAACTAAGGCAAATAATTACCAATGCTCACCTTTCTTTTCCTACCTTCTATTTGCAGTTCATACTGCTTCTGTCTAAAATTAGTGTTATCACCGCGTTCACTGCGCTGAGATGGCAACTTCCACTCTTCCATTTTAAAATTCTGTGTTGCATTAGGAGCAGAGAGGGAAACTGAGGCTGTAGCTCACCTCACAGAAGTCACTGAGCATGTGCCCTGTGGCAGCACAGCTCATAGGATCCTTCACTCACACGGCAACGCCAGGCAGTGGAACAGGTAGGTCACTAGTGCTCTGTGAACATTGGGTTCATTTACCCCGACCACCATCAGGCACTGACTGGAGACACAGTGGGGGCTGTGCTCACAGCATTTCCTCATGCACAGGTTCAAATTTTCTCTCCCAATCCCAGAATCTAATCCCGCCCTAAGGTCAGACTCCTCCCTAATTCTACTCCCTTTCTGGTGGCCACTAACATTGCTATGCCATTTTTCTTTATTTTGCAACATATTTTAAAAGATATGCAACATAAGAATATGTAAAATAGTCTCAAATAGACAGAAGCAATTACAGCTATGTTCCTAGTACATATCACTCAGCAATTTCTCCATTTTATTTCAGAAACAATTACCTCCTGATTAGTATTCTCCATTGTTGCTAAAAAAATAAATCCTCTAAATTTCTTTCATCTTCATTTAACTGAAATGACCATTCCCACCTTGCCTCTCCATGATCAAGTAATCTAATTCACCTTCTGCTTATTTTGTTAATTCTCTCAACTTTTGTGGGCTCATCCTTTACTGCTGAACCATTATAAGTTTTCTTTCCTAGAGACTTTGTGTTCCAGAAAAAAAGGGTTCTTTTTTCCATTCACTTTTATAATTCTGCTCTAAGCAGTCATATCCATCTCCAGACCTACGACTATGAGGGTAACTCACAAGTTCACATTTAAATCTCAGTCATCTTTGAAAAGCTCCACACCTTACTCCTGTGTCTACCTGCTCTCTCATGTGAAGTTCCAAGACAGTTCAAGCTCAGTATGTCCAATTTTGAACTTAACACCTGTCTTGGCAAGCACATTTCCTTGTCACTTCCTACGGTCTTGACATAAATGTCCAGAAGTTAGCCTGTCTGTTCTACCTCTTACAGGTCTCTTGAATCCACTCAGTTTTCAGAAATTGTCTACTTCTCATCCTTCCTCCTCTGGCCCTGAGGATCATTACCTGTCTACTGAAAATGTTTGGCTGGTCTATAGAGCTGTTGCCCCTTGCTAACCCACACTGCACACAGTTGCCAGAATTGTTGTTTCAAAACATAAAACTGGTATAACTAATTACAGTCTCCTCACCAAACAAAGACGAAAACATAAAAACCCAACTTCCCATTGGTCCTAGGAGAATGACTAAAAAGGTGTTCATGTTAACGGCTTCAGATTACCTCTCTGGGCTCAAGCAGTGCCCCCACCTCTCTCCGCCAGACCCTGTGCCCTTCCTGCAGCTGCGCGTGCTGCCACACTCTCTTGCTAGAGAGCTTCTCCGTGCACCATGCTTTTAGGCTGTGCTGGCCTAGTGGACTCCTAGACATTATTGAGATCTCCTTTTCTAGAATGTGTAAATCTCTCCTATGTAGCACTTAGGATGGTTTCAATTGTGTATCTATTTGTGCCCTACTGTCTGATCTCTCTTCCCCATTAGACGCCTGGTCAAGTGAAGGCAGGGAGTAGCTAGTGCAATTGGTAGTCTCTGGCACACAGTAGGTGATCAACAAAGATGACTTTATTGAAAATGTGGGGGCTGGGGATTTAGCTCAGCGGCAAAAGCGCTTGCCTGGCAAGCGCAAGGTCGTGAGTTGGGTTCCTGGTACCGGAGAAAAACGAAAAAAAAAAACTAAAAAAAAAAAGAAAATGTGGTGCATGAAATGAATCTGAAAGCAAACAATAAAATTTTAGTGAGAAAAACGTATTGAGTCTAGAGTTTAAAAATCCTAAAGATAAGGACACATAAGGATTCTAAAAATCCTAAAGATAAAATAACTTGGATGGGTTTAAGAAATTAAAATAAGAGGGCTTTTTTTCCTCATTCAGATTTAGTAGCAGGTGAATAAGAATGATAGAGATTTTTTTAAATAATTTTTTTTTTTTCTCCTGGGCAGGAGTAACTGGTCTTATCATATAGGATATATGTTAAGACATGAAAGTAATTTTCCCCAACTTTATTTTCACCATTTTTGCTACTTCATCTACTGATCAAAGCCATTGAAAAGGGGAGGGAAGGAGGACTGGGACCAAAAATGTACTGGGGAGACAAAGGAGAGAAGAGATTTCAAACATGTTTAAGTCTCTGGATTGTGAATATTCTACTGGGGACTCCTTTTTATATCCTAGCTTCTAAAACCCATGTCATCAAATGCAATATAATTGTCTCTGCTTCCATATGGTGACAGAATTCTAGCAACTGTATCAGAATCTCAATAAATAGGTAAAACTAAAAGGTTGCATAAGTTGTTTTCCCTCAGTTACACTCCAAGTACAGACCCCCACAACTCCTTAACATGAATTTTGTAAATTAGAATAGGATCAGTTATGATCGCACTTGTGCAATTATGAGCATAAAAGCATTCCACATTGAAATAAGAAATGCCATCTGATTTCGATTTAACACAAAGGGGGAGAAACACATTCCGTTTAAGAATGACAAATAAAGCTGTCAATGTGATCCATTTATAGCCCCTCAGAGAATCCCACAAATCCACATAATGTTCTGAGAAGCTAGTTACTGTATTTTCTCTCTCAGAGAGAGAAGGCATAGCAGTCCTGGATCAACTCCTATCTAAGGAAAACTAAGGTTAGCAGGAATAACTTGCAAGAGCAATGTCACAGGCATGCTCTTGTCAGGGAAGAATGAGAGCTCCAGGGATTTTATGAAATATTGTGTAACAATGGAAAGGATGGGCTGATAGAATGGAATTGCCTCTTTGCGAGGTAAAAACAGGAGCTAAAAGAAAATGCAGACACCTCATTGTCTTTGTGGGAGCCTCATACCTGGCTCCACTAGCTTAATGAAGCCTCTTTCCAAAGATGTACTGCTGACAAGAATGATAGTAAGCCATACAGTCTTAATTATAAACAGCCAAAGTCCTAGTCTTTTTTGAGCATTTTTTACTGGGTTATTTCTGGCTCAGGCACAAAGGCACATGCCAAAAACAAAATGTTGAAAATATAATCTGCCTATTCCTTATTACTACACTCAGGCTTCTTTCTTTTAGGAAGCATTTTTCTATTAAATTACATATACATATATTCATGTATAAGTATATATAAAATATGACCCTCTGCAAGGCATAGCTGATTTTTTTCCTTCTTTTCATTGGCTGCTAAAAAACTGAAAATAAAAT